GTGCTGTTTGCCTCTAAGTTCACAGCCCACCTTTAGTTCTCCAAGACAAACTGCTCGCTTCTGTTGCAGTCACTTTCTCTTTTTTTTTTTTTTTTTCTGAGACAGAGTCTTGGTTTGTCACCTCAGGCTGGAGTGCAATGGTGAGATCTCAGCTCACTGCAACCTCTTCCTCCTGGGTTCAAGCAATTCTCTGCCTCAGCCTCCTGAGTAGCTGGAATTGAAGGCACCTGCCATCACAGCCAGCTGATTTTTGTATTTTTAGTAGAGATGGGGTTTCACCATCTTGGCCAGGCTGGTCTTGAACTCCTTGGCCTCCCAAAGTGGTAGGATTATAGGCGTGAACCTCCTTGCCCAGCCTCCAGTCACTTTCTTTAGGCATCATAGTTGTGCTTCTGTGTTATTTACTACTCCTTTATCTACTTTTTATGTCTCAGCATTTATTAAAAATTATCTCTTTTCAACCTTCTCTCCTGGTGCTGTGTGTCACCTTTATTTTGTGACTAATGAGATGTCTAGAGGGAGAGGAAATAAATTTGTGATCAATCTATTATATTTAATCCAAATTTAGGACCTATATTAAAGTGTAAATCAAAGTTTAATTTCAATATCATTAATGATATTAACCCAGACAATTTTTTAGTGATGTATCTATAATAAGCATGTTACAGTTGTCTTCTAAGGCCTTGTTTGATATTTTTATTCAAACTTTGTACACTGTCATATTATCCCATTACTTCACAACATAGATGGAGCTGTTTTCATGAATGCTCACAGTGTTAGAAATATTTAAGTTAATTAAGATATGTTTATTTTTAGCCTGTTCAACATAGCAAGACCTCATCTCTACAAAATGGTGAAATAACAATTAGCCAGGCATGGTGGCATATGCGTTTAGTTTTACCTACTCAGGTAGCTGAGGCAGAGGATTGCTTGAGCTCAGGAGTTTGATGCTACAGTTAACCATCATTGCACCACTGCCCTCCAGCCTGGGTGACAAAGTCAGACCTTGTCTCAGAAAAAGGAAAAAAGTTATTACTAGTTTAATTGTCCTGCCAAAAAGGAGATAGAAAAACACAAACTTTAGTTTTTATTTTATTTATGTTTGCTGAGAAGATTGCTGTAGTTTATTTGTCTATTTTTTATTTCCGTAGGTTTTGGGGGGAACAGGTGGTATTTGGTTACATGAGTAAGTTCTTTAGTGATGATTTGTGAGATTTTGGTGCGCCCATCATCTGATCAGTATCCACTAAAACTGATTTGTAGTCTTTTATCCCTCACTCTTTTCCCACACTTTCCCCTGAGTCTCCGGAGTTCATTGTATCATTCTTATGCCTTTGCATCCTCCTAGCTTAGCTCCCACGTATGAATGAGAATACACAATGTTTAGTTTTCCATGCCTGAGTTACTTCACTTAGAATAATAATCTCCAGTTCCATCGAGGTTCCTGGGAATGCCATTAATTTATTCCTTATTGTAATTGAGTGGTATTCCATCACACACACACACACACACACACACACACACACACACACACACACAAACACACACACACACACAATATGTATATAAAATATATACACGTATATCACAATTTTTTATCCCCTCATTGACTGATGGGCATTTAGGCTGGTTCCGTATTTTTGTAATTGAAATTTGTAAATTGTAATTTGTTTGAGTTCCTTGTAGATTCTGGGTAATAGCCCTTTGTCAGATATATAGAGTGTGAAGACTTTCTCCCACTCTGTGGGTTGTCTGTTTACTCTGCTGATTGTTCCTTTCCCTGTGCAGAAGCTCTTCAGTTAAGTCTTACCTGTTTGTTTTTGTTGCATTTGCTTTTGGGTTCTTGGTCATGAAGTCTTTGCCTAAGCCAGGGTCTAGAAGGGTTTTTCCAAGATTGTCTTCTAGAATTTTTATGTTTTCAGGCATAGATTTATGTGCTTGATCCATCTTGAGTTGATTTTTGTGTATGGTGATAGTTGAGGATCCAGTTTCATTCTCCTGCATATGGCTTGCCAATTATCCCAGCATTATTTGTTGAATAGGGTTTGCTTTCTTCACTTTATATTTTAGTTGGCTTTGTTGAAGATCATTTGGCTATAGATATTCGGGTTTATTTCTGGGTTCTTTCTTCTGTTCCATTGGTGTATGTGCCTCTGTTTATACCAGTTTCATGCCATTTTGGTAACTATGGCTTTATAGTAGAGTTTGAAATTAGGGAATGTGATTGATGCCTCCAGATTTGTTGTTTTTGCTTAATTTTGATTTTGCTATGTGGAGTCTTGTTTGGTCCCATATCAGTTTTAGTATTATTTTTTTCTAGTTTTGTGAAGAAGGATGATGGTATTTTGATGGGAATTTCATTGAATTTGTAGATTGCTTTTGGCAATATGGTCATTTTTACAATATTCATACTACCCATTCATGAGCAGGAGATGTCTTTCCTTTTGTTAGTGTCCATCATTTCATTCAGCAATGTTTTGTGGTTCCCAACAGCATATCAAAAAGATAATCCACCATGATGAAATGGGTTTCATACCAGGGATCCAGGGACTGGTTGAACATACACAGGTCAATAAATGTGATAGCACCACATAAACAGAATTCGAAACAAAAATCACATGATCATCTCAATAGACACAGAAAAAGCATTTGACAAAATCCAGCATGCTTTTATGATGAAAACCCTCAGCAAAATTGGCATACAAAGGTCATACCTCAATGTAATAAAAGCCATCTATGACAAACCCACAGCCAACATAATACTGAAGAGGGAAAAGTTGAAAGCATTCCCCTTGAGAACTGGAACAAGGCAAGGATGCCCCAGTCTCACTGCTTTTATTCAGCACAGTACTGGAAGACCTAGCCAGAGCAGTCACGCAAGAGAAAGAAATCAAGGGCATCCAGATCAGTACATAGGAAGTCAGACTGTCACTGTTTGCTGATGACATGATTTTATACTTAGAAAACCCCAAGGACTCCACCAGAAAGCTCCAAGAAACTGATAAATGAATTTAGCAAAGTTTCAGGAGACAAAATTAGTGTACACAAATCAGTAACTCTGTTGTACCCTAACCGTAAATGCTGAGAATCGAACCAAGAACTCAGCCCCTTTTATAATAGTTGCAAAAATAAAATAAAATTCTTAGGAATAGACCTATCCAAGGAAGTGAAAGACCTCTACATGGACCTTTGATGGTAAGCCTTTGGTTTTGACTTACTAAATTACTAGGTATAATTATCTTCTAGTTTTTGTTATTAACCTACTATGTAACCCCTTCCATTTCTTGTTAAAGATCATAAAATTTCACACTCTTTATTCATGCTGACTGCAGTTAGATGATTTGTTTCTTTTTTGTTGACTACCTTAAATAATACCTATAAACAGTAAACCGTTAGGAGTGTTTTTGGTGTAATTAAATGTAGTAAGACTTATTTTCCAAATTATAACTGAATTAATTTATTAAATACTTGTCAAAATTTTTGATTTACTCAAAATTCTGTGCTCAGCAGCTGGAGGTAGAAAGAGTAAGAGCCCTCCCTTACTCTTATGGAGAGGCATACTTTCTCATGAGGGAAATACTCGGCAAGAATTAGTATCTTGTAACCAGTGGTGAATTTGATTAATTAGTGTACAAAAAAACAAAAACAAAACTTTTTTTGTGTGTGGCTGCTGGCAAAAAGATCCAAGAAGGTAGATGGAATCAAGCTTGCTGAAACAAGGAGAGAGAAAACAGTCTTCTAGGCAGAGAGCAAGGGTATAGCAGGAAAATGCCTAGGTGCAGGTCAGATGATTTATAGAATGAAATTAATCAACTTTTGAAATGAATGGCAAGTATTCTCTGAGAGTTTCATTTGAATCATGTCATGGCAGTCTTATTTATACATGAAGTGAAAGTTAAATTTTTTAAGTTGTTATCTGTTTTCAGGGTGTGAGAGAATATTTAAGTGATAATCTTTTTATCCTCCACATAAGAAAACAGGACTAGAGAAACCTATGGCTTCCTCACTTGGTGGTGGCCTAGCAACCCTGGCACACAGAACCTCTGAATGTGAAACACCTGTTTTGTCACAATATTGCCTGAAATAATACACGTAGGATTAGTAAGTTTGTAAATACATTAGTCTTATATTCATTGCAATAAATTTCTCTTGTACCAGTATTATTTAATACATTATATTTTATTGTAATAAATTAATAGAAATTCTCAGCTGCTTTATATCATTGTTAGAAAAAACAATGAAATTGTATTTTAAACTTTTGTCATTATATATAAAGAGAATTCATAAAATCCTTATTAGGTTTGATGACAGGTAGCATATTAAGAGCAGCATTTTCTAACCCATATCTCAATTTCATCTCTGGAAGTTAAGAGCCTCCATTGGTTTTTCTATACACTGCACATGATATCACACTCAGGCAGTTCATGGAGTGTAAGAAATATCTTAGTGCTTTGTCATTTGACATTTTAACTGAGAAAAAAAAAACACACTTTGATAAGTTTACCTTATCCTTCCCTTCCTCTTTAGATATATACGGATCATTTTTTTTTGAAATGCAGCTCATGCTCGACAATTTTTCTTGATGACAGCACAGCCAGCTGCCCTCATTTTAAAATGACACTAAAATCGTGAGTACGACTATACTGCCAAGGGACAGATTAAAATTATTTCAGCCATTTGTTTGTTCCTCTTCAATCAGTTTAAGAAATTGGAGTCAACTATATATTGATACCAGATTCTAAATATTAAGTATCAGTTTCTCTTTTCATCTTCTACATCATGGTGGAAGGAAAAATCTCTTAGCAAATAAGCAATTTCAGAAAAAGTGTTGCTATTTATTTGATGCCTTTATGCCTTAAGAGAATGTTGAATGCAGTAAGAAGGATAGGTTCCCTGTATTTAATGTTGTTTTTTTGTGTGAAAAATTAGCTTCTCAATGCATTGCAGGCGTAAGTCAATTTGTACTACTTTGGACATTGGTCTTAGAAGAAGGAACAGCTTTTTCTCCTCTGGCACCACAGTGTGTCTGCATTTGAATTTCTCCCATTGTGCATGAGCACCTCATGGGCCACAAAGATGCACTTGGAGAGCACTCTGAGATGAAGTTTATCTTTTAAAAGGAATAATCACCAACACCACCACCAGAGGGGCTGCCCAGTGATCATTATTATCATCTCCTTGGTTATGAGTGTTGATTTTTAGAGCAGAGTTTGGAAAGTGCTAACTTAGAATATTAATGTCCTTATATTTAAGTTTACTTTTCATTCTAGAAATATAAGTAGTTGGCTTATAAACAATTTTGTTTTGAATGCGCTAGCCTTTTTAGCTAATTCAATTGTCAGTAACTTTTACTTTAATTAAAAATGGCAGGTTTACACTCATAATAATATCACTTTCCTCCTTCCCTTATAACAATAGTTGAGATGAAATTGTGTTTCAGCAAAAATTAGAATCAAATTATGTCTTAGGTGCTGAGCTCTGGGACCTATTGAGTAATCACTAAATGTCTGTGGTCAGCCAAGTTTCTTCGATCTTTTTTCTTTTTCTTTTTCTTTTTTTTTTTTTTTTGAGACGGAGCTTTTCTCTTGTCTTATTGCCCAGACTTGAGTGCCGTGGCACCATCTAGACTCACCACAACCTCCACCTCCCAGGTTCAAGCAATTCTGCCTCAGCCTCCCAAGTAGCTAAGATTACAGTCATGCACCACTACATTCAGCGGATTTTGGTTTTTTTTGTTTTTTTGTTTTTGTTCTTTTTTTGGAAAGTTGAGGTTTCTCCGTGTTAGTCAGGCTGATCTCGAACTCTCAACCTCAGGTGATCTGCCCACCTCTGCCTCCAAAAGTGCTGGGATTATAGGCATGAACCACCACACCTGACTGTCTCTTAAATCTTTGAGCATAAAAACAAACTACTTTGGCTAAAGTCCCTGGCTGCTTTTGAATTCAAATGATTTTTATGTGTTAGCGTAGAATTCCAAAGTAGGTTTGAAGATAGTCTTGTTCAAACAAATTTCATGCTTTTTTTTTTTCATTCTTCTAATTTTTAGAAGTCTACTTTCAAAAGTAAAGTAAGTTTTAATTTGCCATCAGCAGGTTTGAGAAATGATCATTTGGTGTATTCACTCTTGGTGAAATAGAGGTTTATTGAGCAAATTAATAGGGCAAATTGGCTTCAGGAAAAGATTTTGAAAAATGTTCATCACAAGTTAGTAGTGCTTTGTTATCAGTGGGATAGGTGGAACTCATTGGGATCACTTTTGCAAAGTTTGTCTTCAAAATATATGTCTGCAAATACATGTATCCTCCAATCTCCACTTTCCCTCTATCTCCAGGCGCTCAGAAGTCTTTTAGGAAAACATAGCATCTTTATGTAAAGAAAAGCAGCCGAGAAGATTCTGATTTTCACCCCAACTCAATCATTTCAAATTTTGCTGCACATTGAAATCACCTGGGAAACTTTTACCAACAACCCTGATGGCCAAAGTTATATCCAATGCTAATTATTGAAAATGAGGCAGTTATTAAAGCTTCTCAGGTGATTTTAATGTGCAGCAAAATTTAGAGCCACTGCCTAATTTGAGTTTAGGGCAAGAAACTGCTCCTGTTTGTTGGGACCTTGGGCAAGTCAGTTTTAAGATTTGTTTCCCTGACCTGTAAAATGAGTGTTGGATTAAATGTCTTGTAAGATCATTGGTCCTTTCCAGCATATAACTTCAAATTCTGTGATTTTAAAATTATTTCAGAGATGAAAAGTACTTGAAGCACTATAGACATATCTATCTGAAGTGCTAATGTTACAGGCTTTTTAAAAAGTGCTGTTACTAAAATTGAGATTTGCCTTCCTCAGTTATTTTGAACCTCATTGTAGATGCTGAGGGCAAATGGAAGCACGTAACTTACGTAAGAGAACCTCTTGTTTTCTGATACACAGCATCAGTGGGTAACATAGAAATACAGTTACATATATCTGAAGAGTTGTATCTGTTCATAAATATTTCAGTTAAACTAACTGAAGATACCTGCCATTGATATTACACTGTGTCGTGCTACACTACCTTGTTAGCACTGCTTATTTTAGGATTGCTGTACCTATCATTGATGACATGTGAGCTTATGTTTACTAATATATTTTCTATTAATTATGCAAAAGCAATTTCAAATAATTTTATTTGTTATAAAGCACTTTCATTATGTTATGCATTTTTTGGGAAATAATTTTAAAAATGGGTGGGTAGGAGACAGTGAACTAAACTAAAATGCAGGGCCTAACATCTTAAAAAAGAAAACCACTACTGTGTGGCTGAAATTTAAACATATGTATGCATAGATATAAATTGCATGAGTCAGGCTGTGGCGGCTCAAGCTGTAATCCCAGCGCTTTGGGAGGCTGAGGCAGGCAGATCACTTGAGGCCGGGAGTTTGAGATCAACCTGACCGTCATGGCAAAACCCCATCCCTACTAAAAGTACAAAAATTAGCCAGGCATAGTGGCACCAAACTGTAGTCTCAGCTACTTGGGAGGCTGAAGCATGAGAATTGCTTGAACTCGGCAGGTGGAGGTTGTTGTGAGCAAAGGTTGCTCTGGGCTACAGAGCAAGACTCTGGGTCACACAGTAAATAAATACATAAAATAAATTGCATGTGATGAAAGGTTTTGTGGGTAGAAGAACATATAACAGAAATATGTTATTATTTATGTATTATAATCATCTACAGAAACACGTTTTCTACTAGTGTATTGTATTGCCTTGCATTTTTGTTCTCATATTTTTGCTAAAACCCAAGAAATGAAAACAAGAAAGTGCCCTTATGGTACTGTTCTGAACTAGAAGGTTTTAATTTCAGGGCCGCTAGGAGAGTTTCCACCACACCCTTTTAAAAAAATGTCTTCAGACCTAACAAATGATAACATCTATTGTTATGAATGTTTTTCCTTCCACAGTGTGGCCTTGGAGATATATCTTCTTATCAAGGAAAGGTGAGGTTTTTTAAAAACTGTCTTGTTATTCTGGCTAATTACTTTGCAAGCTATCAAGCTCTTTAGATCACAGCTCTAGACATCATGAGCTGTATTGGGCCTGCTAAAATATCCAAGCAAATTATTTGTGTTTTCTTTGGTCCTTAACACTTTTAATTCTTAAATGATTAGGAATCTCAGAGAGCATGTATTTATATTGATGATATTGATATTTACTGTCATAGAACTATAAAATTGAGATTTTTTTCAAAATCTATTTTTATTTTAGATTTCACAGCCTTACTACTGTTGATATCTTGATAACGCTTTGTCATGAGGACTGTCCTGTGCATTGCAGAAAGTTTAGCAGCACTGGTGGCCTGTACCAAGTAGATGTCAGTAGTAACCCATGACCCAGGTTGTGACAACAGAAAATACTCCTTGAGAACAATATTGTTAACATAAAATTTTTAATGAGAAAATAGATTTTCTACAACAAAAAGTTGAGTAAAAAGTGTGTCATGTATTTATATTATTGAAAACCTCGAATGTCACACTTAATAGAAGACAGCTGGATTCTCTAGGTCTTTCTTTGCAATTTGCCTTAAGAAGCAATAAGATGGCCAGGTGTGGTGGGAGGCACCTGCAATCCCAGCACTTTGGGGAGGCCAAGGCAGGCAGATTCATTTGAGGTCAGAAGGTTGAGACCAGCCTGACCACCATGGTGAAACTCATCTCTACTAAAAATACAAAAAAATAGCTGGGCATGATAGTGCATGCCTGTGGTCAAAAAAGGGAAGCAATGACATGCCCTAATCTCATGCAAATATGTACTTGGTAAAAGGTGCATTTTTAAAGCTTTGAGACAGCTGTGGGTATTTAATAATAAGTGAAAACTTGGCAAGTGCTACTTTTTAAAATTAGTTGCAGTGGTATTATACATATTAATAAATTTATTTGGTCAGTCCTCACTAATCTGTCTTGCATGGTAAATGGAATCTTTCCCCCATACTTGCATTTATACTATCATGCATTAGTTATTTGGAATATATTGGTTTATGTTTTATTGTGTCAAAAATGACTTTTAACCACCAATATTATTTTAAAAGTCTTTAAGTGTTGAAAAGCTGTCAAGCCTACAGTAGAAGGAGCGAGATTTTCAAAGTCCTCAGGAAAGCTTAATTTATCATTGGGAACACATGCTTATTTTCCTTGAAGTGACAACGTCAGTTCATTTATTTTTGAGAATGATAGTTGTCCTTTTTTTTTAGACTGAGTCTCACTCTGTCACTTGGCTGTAGTACATTGGCATGATCTCAGCTCAAGCAATTCTCTCACCTCAGACTCCTGTGTAGCTGGGACCACAGAGGTGTGGCACCAAGTCTGGCTAATTTTTGTGTATTTTTGGCAGAGACAGAGTTTCACCATGCTTCCCAGGCTACTCGAACTTCTGAAGGAGCTCAAGCGATCTGCTGCTTTGGTCTCCCAAAGGGTTTGGATTTTAGAGGTGTGAACCATTGCACTGGCACAGTAGTACCTTTAAATAAAAATGATGTTCTGTGAAAAAAGTGATTGTTCCACTCACAATTAAATCATGAATTTTTTTTAAACACAACCATACTGCAGTCAGCAGAAGTGCTTCTTCTTAGCTTTCTACTGATTCAGAATATGAAAGAGACATGTCAAGATTTAGTAACACCATTAATTTTTACCACCTCAACAAAGACATTCTTAAGTACTTTAGACTACTTTTTAACTGTAAGGGACAATAAAGAACAGAATTACTACCAGTGTAATTGGTACCACTGCCTTGATTTAGGCTGAGAAACCAGCAGTTTTATCCACTTTTGCTTTTATACAGTTATGGCAAGTGTCTATGAAAAAGTAGTCAGTGTCTTTGTATTACTTTCTTAATTAAAAAAAATTTTTTGTATCAACTTTCTGAGGTTGAATTAGTATGATTATCAGAACAGTGTCCAGCAGACACAGTGGCTCAGGCCTGTAATCCCAGCACTTTGAGAGGCCAAGCAGATGGAATCACCTGAGGTCAGGAGTTCAAGACCAGCCTTGCCAGCATGATGAAACCCCATTTCTACTAAAAATACAAAAGTTAGCTGAGTGTGGTGGTAGGCGCCCATAATCCCAGGTACTCGGGAGGCTGAGGCAGGAGAATCACCTGAACCTGGGAGACGGAGACTGCAGTGAGCCAAGCTCCCACCATTGCACTCCAGCCTGGGCAATAAGAGTGAAACTCCATCTCAGAAAAACAAAAACAAACAAAACAAAGAAAAACAAAACAAAACAGTGTTGACCTCTTAGGCCTTCTCAGAAAGGGTCTTCAGGATCCCCAGAGGTCCACAGAGCACATTTGGAGAACCACTGGTTTATCACACAGGCACAATGCATTAGTTTTACAAAATTTAAAGTTAATCAAAGACTAGCCTCTTTTAAAATAAAAGGGCAGATGAGTTTTTAATTCAAACAACAGAAAATAATAAATTCATCATGAAACTATACTACAGAGGACTAAAATGTAAGGAAGCTAGGAAATCGGAATCACATTTATATTTATTAAAGTCCTAAAGACTTTATTGCCCACCACTACTGCTTTGTAAAACATTCTTGTGTTTCAATGTGTGGTTAAGAAGAGAGAAAATATGTTTGGTTTATTGCCATTGCCTGTTAGGGAGGGTCAATACCTACAGGCAGTTCTGACTGGTTATTGTGAAAAAGACTTCACAGTACAGGACATGATGTGCTGAGGAAGAAGAGGTCGGGAAACATTCTGCAGGGCAGGATCCAGGAGAAGAATTTGTAAAAACTGTTTGCTTTGGTGAAGTAAACACCAAAGCACATAGGAGGCATTATTATACTAAACAGGTATGATACTAAGATATTAACAGTTTTTGAAGTAATGCACATTCTTATTTTATAGAGATGGAAATAGAACTCTGGAAATATTTGATGAACGTATATTTCCACTTAACGTAAGTGGCACTTTTATTGAGGCTTGCATTTTCATCATAGACTTGTATTTGTTTCATGCTGAAGTCAAAGCCGTCTTTAAATCCTCCCCATTTCGTGTTGCATTTAGTCCTCTTAGGTGTTGTGAAAAGAATGTATTAGAATAAGAACTGATCTGCAGCTCTGTTTAGTTAGTGAACTAGTATGACTAAATCTACTATCAAAATAACAGAAAATGTATCTTTTAAAAGACAGTTATTAGTAGCATCAAGCAATGTGAGTATATGTAAATACTTTCAACACAGAAGCGTGACTTTTATGAAGAGAGTTAAAAATAATTTAAGTTAAATCAACCTACATGTTATAAAAATTTTAAATGTACTTCCTCAAGTACATAATAGCCACATGTGGCTAGTGACTATTGTATTTAACAGCATAGGCTTAGAGCCTCATGGTTACAGGAAACTGTATTTTCTCAGTTTATTGCAGAGAATGAGATACCATCAGTAAGACATTAAAGCCTAAGAGTAGCTTACATTTGGATAGAATTATGTGGGGCAAAGAGTAAAAAAGAACAAAAATTTTCTGAACTTTAGCTCATTATGATTTTTAAGTGAATGTCGATGAGTATTAAATCATTATGGTATTTTAAGATCCCACTGTTCATATTGTAAAAACTGAAAGACATCTCCCCAATCAAAATGATTGTAAATGATACATGGGCACAAATGTGAACACTGCTGTCTTAAGAGCACTTCAGGTTTTCTCTTCAATGGATACTTATATTGCATCCTTTCTTCTTTCAGCGAGGAGAGGTTCTGGAAGAACACTTTATGTATGATCCTGCACACAAAACGATTTTTAGATTCATACGTACTCTGTGCAATGCCAAAAAGCTAAATGCTTACTTAGCAATCATAAGTTTGGTAAGATATTTTCTATTTATAAAGCATCTTTAGAAATTGGTCTTGTAGAGTGGCCTGGCCAATGTGGTTAAACCCTGTCTCTACCAAAAAGACAAAAATTAGCCAGGCATGGTGGCACGCCCCTATAGTCCCAGCCACTCGGGAGACTGAGGCAGGAGAATTGCTTGAACTCAGGAGGCAGAGTGCAGTGACCGGAGATCAAGCCAGTGTACTTCAGCCTAGGCAACAGAGCAGGACTCTATTTCAAAAAAAAAAAAAAAAAAGAAAAAGAAATTGATCTTGTAAACAGGGTAGTATGTTCCTGATTTTAAATGAAAGTAGGTTTCTTAAATTATCTCAGAACTTTAAGAGAAACTTATGAAAGCAAATACACACATTTGAGTTGAATCATCATTATGGCTTAAATATTGCCTTGCGTTTCTCATTACAGAACAGTTGCTATTAAAGGCAGCAGGAGGGATTTCTGATTTCTCCCCCACACTTCAGTGCACACATGCACACGCAGTGCACACACATCCAGGGCATGTGGAGGGCTTGGAATGAAGAGCAGTAACAAGACCATCTGGTTCATGGGCAGGAATGTGTGCCATTGTAGGTCTAAGCTGAGTCCCAGGGTGTATCCCCAGGCAGTTCTCATGTATGTTGTGATTGAGAGCTACTGCCCTCCGTTCATTGTTCCTTGGATGTGTTAATCTACCCCCGCATGGGCAGAGTAGGTAGCAGAAATATTTGGGCTATGATTGTGATATGGCCCCTTACTTAACCTGATGAAACAAAGTCTCTGTAGAACATAAGAATAAAAGGCATCTACTTTCTGGTCAAAACCAGAAGTATTCTGGTTTTTCATAAGAGTTCTTATCACAGCACTTAAACTGAGCTAAATCAAAGGCCAGTGCTCTGTTTTCCAGGTATACGTAAAAAGACTTCTAGAGTGTACCGATATCAACATTTGTCCAGCCAACTGGAAGCGGATTGTCTTCGGAGCCACTCTTCTTGTCAGCAAGGTTGGGAACAATGTGGCTCGGTGCAATGACAACTTCTGCAAGCTCTTTGAGAAAATTACACTTGACAACATGTGAGTTTGTATGGTTTTTGTGAACTTTCTCACCATTTTTGAATACTTTATTTGCTGCCATAAACAAACATTTTGAGAAATACTTTTAAAGATTATATTATGCAGGTAATAAGAATGGGCATAAATACCACATACTCTTTCTCCCCAGCTTTAGAAGAACAGTTCATATTTTTCACTAGTCATTGGTAGGTCTTGGTAAATTGCCGTTGTAATAATCTCATAAATGGAAAAGAATTTTTCTGGTGAACGTTTTTGGCAAATATCTTACCAGTGTACAATGAGAAACATGATAGTACAGTCAATTCCCTTAAGGCTTTTACAGGCTGTCTGCAAGTTCTAGTCTCTTTGTGAGGAGCGCATATCTGGCCTTTGAAATAATTGTTTGCCCACTGACAGGTCTGGGGCCTCTGCATTGTGAAGTAGAGCTTCACCCTGAGCCATACGTTGTGTATTTGCGTTTGCTGGTGTTCTCCCGCTTTTCTCTGAAGATCCGTTTTGTAGAAACCTCGAGATACAGAATAGCCACAGTTCCCTGTGCCCCTGTCCTCTTCCCATTAGGAGTGCTGCATCACTGGGCTGATGAGTCAGAAGTTCCAGTGTTCCCCTCAGGCAGTCTGAGAAACATTGCTGGGGCATCACCCCATGCTCACCACACTTAGGAGGTTCCCGGGGCTTTAATGCAACGACAGCACCACTTGGGGGGCCCCAAGTTATCTATGATAATGCGAGAAATCTTGCTGAATCATGGGGTTGCCCATAGACGGCAACATGACACTGAAACAGGAGCTTCATGGGTCTTTCTTTCAGTCTGGCCTCATGACTGCTGTAAAGGGAAGGGTCTTGGAGCTGGTTGGCAGGGTGAGCCAGGGAGGCATTTCCAGCACAGGCTCTCACAGTGTCCACTAGACAGCGAGAATGGCTTTGTGGGTGACACTTAGGAAAATCTGAAGGAACACCTCTTGATGACATAGAAGCATATGAAGCGTATGAAGATGAAGATCCTCAGGCAGTGGAAAGAGGTTTTTGTTTTTTGTTTTTTGTGTTTTTTGTTTGTTTGTTTGTTTCTTTGTTTTTACGTTTGCCTGTTACTCCAGTTAAGACTGTGATTCAGGATGTATGCAGTCACAAATAGAAGTCTCTGCCAGTTGTGCTCCCCACAGGAATAACAACTTTAGCAACTATCTAAATAAAAAAGCACCTCAATAAGAACTGAAAATTATTTAAATGTTCATATCATGTGGTTTTAACGTCATATCAGTGAAAGAGGCACTGAACGGCATAGAAAAGACAGTCTTGAATTGTTGATGCTACCTGTGAACCTGTGGCAAGGAGAGAGGCGACATGCTTGGGGAAGGGAGAGCACAGCAGCTGTGGGACTTTGCCTGAACTCAGTGCTGCCTCGTCATAGCAGAAAGCAAAACAAAGCTGAATCCACCCAAAGCCCACTCACAGAAAAAACATTTAGACTAGCCCCAACCATAGGGGAATTATTCATCCCCGTGGTTGGAACTTGCGTGGTGAAAGCCTGGCTGCCATGGGATAAAATAGTCTGGAGTCCTTAATCAACCTGAAAGGCTGTCTAGGTCACAAGGACTGCAACTCCTAGTGCCATCTGGACAGACCTAGTGCTGTCCCGGAAGTCATGGCCACAGGGGTGCTTGTATCACTCCCCTCCCAGCTCCAGGCAGCTTAGCACAGAGAGACAGACTTCATTTGTGGGAAAGTAAGTGAAGAAGCGAGTCTCTGTCCATTAATCTAGAGAATTCCTTCAGGTCTGATCTCAGACCACCAATGTGGAGCCTCCACAATTCTGCAAAAAGCAATGACATTCTTCACAGAAATAGAAATTAAAAAATGAATCCTAAAATATATAGGCAACTACAAAAGACTCAGAATATCCAAAGCTAACCTGAGCAAAAACAAACCTGGGGGAATTACATTATCTAATTTCAAATTACCCTCTACACCTGTCGTAACCAGAACAGCATGGCACTGTGATTAAAAACAGACACGTAGCCCAATGGAACAGAAAAGGAACCCAGAAACCAATTCATACATCTGCAGTGAACTCATTCTCTGTGAAGGTGCCAAGCACATGCAATGGGGTAATGACAGTCGGTAAGGGGTGCTGGGAAAACTGGATATCCACATGCAGAAGAATGAAACCAGGCTTCTATTTCTTACCTTATACAAAAATCAAATCAAAATGGATTAAAGATGTAAATCTAAGCTGGGTATGGTGGCTCACACTTGTAATCCCAGCACTTTGGGAGGCCAAGATGGGAGAATGGCTTGATCTCAGGAGTTCGAGACTATCTGGGCAATGCAGTATCTCTGTCTTTTAAAATACTAAAAATAGATTTAAATCTAAGACCTCAAATATGAAACTAAAATAAAACAGTGGGAAAACTCTCCACGATATTGGACTGGGCAAATATTTCTTGCATAATGTTTTATAAGCACAGGCAACCAAAGCAAAAATGGGCAAATTAGGTCACATCAAGTTAAAAAGCTTCTGCACAACAAAGGAAACAGTGAACAAAGTGAAGTGAAAACCCACAGAATGGGGGAAGGTATTTGAAAACTATCTGACAAGGGATTAATTACCAGAATACGAAGGAGCTCAAATAACTCCATAGAAAAAAGAATAACCATCTGATTTTTAAAATGGGCAAAATATCTGAATAGACATTTCTGAAAAGCGGACACATAAGGCAGGCTTGGTGGCGTGTGCCTGTAATTTCAGCTGCTTAGGAGGCTTAGATGTGAAAATTACCTGAGCCTGGGAGGTCAAGGCTGCAGTGAGCTGTGATTCTACCACTGCGCTCCATCCTGATTGACAAAGTGAGACCTGTTTGAAAACTCCTTAAGAAAGGCATACCAGCCAGCCGGGCGCGGTGGCTCAAGCCTGTAATCCCAGCACTTTGGGAGGCCGAGGCGGGTGGATCACGAGGTCAAGAGATCGAGACCATCCTGGTCAACATGGTGAAACCCCGTCTCTACTAAAAATACAAAAAATTAGCTGGGCATGGTGGCGTGTGCCTGTAATCCCAGCTACTCAGGAGGCTGAGGCAGGAGAATTGCCTGAACCCAGGAGGCGGAGGTTGCGGTGAGCCGAGATCGCACCATTGCACTCCAGCCTGGGTAACAAGAGCGAAAACTCCGTCTCAAAAAAAAAAAAAAAGAAAGGCATACCAATGGCAAACCGGTATATGAAAAGATACTCAATGTTAATACCGTCGATGTTCAGATAAATGCAAATCAAAATTACAATGAGAGATCATCTCACCACACTTAAAATGGCTCTTATTGTAAAAACAGGCAATAACAAATGCTGGCGAGGATATAGAGCAAAGGTAGCCCTTGTACGCTGTCATTGGGAATGTAATTTAAATACAGCCACTATGGAGAACAGTTTGGAGGTCCTCAGAACTAAAAGTAGAGCCGCTATATGATCCAGGAATCTCACTGCTGGGTATAAAACCAAAAGAAAGGAAATCAGTATATCAGAGAGATACCTGCACTCTCATGTATGTTGCAGCACTATTCACAACAGCCAAGATTTGGAAGCATTCTGAGTATTCATCAACAGATGAGTGGCTAAAGAAAATGGTTCATATACACAGTGGAGCACTATTCAACCATAAAGGAGAATAAGATCCTGTTATCTTCTATCCAACAACATGGATAGAAATGTTAAGTGAAATAAGCCAGACACAAAAAGACAAAATTCACCTATTCTCACTGATTTGTGGGAACTAAAAATTAAAACAATTTAACTCATGAAGATATAGAGTAGGAGAATTGTTTGCAGCTGCTGGTAAAGGTAGCATGGAGGATGAGAGGAGTAAGGGGTGATGGTTAATAGGTGCACACATTTGGTAAGGAAGAATAAATAACATCTAGTATTTGATAGCACAAGAGAGTGACAACAGTCAAGAACTATTGTACATTTTAGAGTAACTAAAAGAGTATAATTGAATTATTTGTAAAAAAAAAAAATAAAAATAAAAGATACATGCCTCAGGTGCGATGCATTTTCCATTTACCCTGCTGTGATTATGACATTATAGGCATGTATCAAATAATTTTATATACCCCATAAATATGTACACCTACAATGTACCCCCAAAAAATTTTAAAGACTTTCATTCAGAATTAACACAGTGTATATTTACAATTGAAATGAGGCTTCTTGTAACCAAGAAGAGACTAGTGATGGTTGGTTGCTGTTCAACCAACTAGTGATGGTTGGTGGCTGCTAAGTTACCAATTTGCTCATAGTATAAACCGAGTTGTCATAGTGATATTGCTAGTAGCCATTTTAGTAAAGGATTTAACAGAAAATGAACATCATTTGAAAGTTGCAGAAGCTAAAGTTCTCTTAATCACTACTGTGATCAATCTGTAAACTGGTTTCTTTTCCGTGTGTGTGTGTGTGTGTGTGTGTGTGTGTGTGTGTGTGAAAGAGAGAAAGAGAGAGATGGAGTTTTGCTTTTGCTACCTAGGCAACAATGTGCAATGGCATGATCTTGGCTCACTGCAACCTCCGCCTCCTGGGTCCAAGCAGTTCTCTTGCCTCAGCCTCCTGAGTAGCTGGGATTACAGGCATGTGCCACCACAACCAGCTAATTTTCTATTTTTAGTAGAGATGGGGTGTTACATAATATTCAGGAGCCTGGAGAGACCAATGGGTGAAACAGGAGGATTTTATTAAGGTGGCCACCAGCTCGGCGGATTTACATCCCAAGGCTGAGAGCCTAATAAAGACAGGGCTTGATTTGTTATACAGCCAGGATGACATAGCAACTAACAGGTTTACAGAAGCCAGAGGAAAGAACAGTTAACTTGTGACATGTCTTTTTTTTTTTTTTTGAGACGGAGTTTCACTCTTGTTACCCAGGCTGGAGTGCAATGGCGCGATCTCGGCTCACCGCAACCTCCGCCTCCTGGGTTCAAGCAATTCTCCTGCCTCAGCCTCCTGAGTAGCTGGAATTACA